CCGACTGAGCCACCCAGGTGCTCCCAAAATAAAATTTATTTTAAAATAATTCCAGGGACGCCTGGGTGGCTCAGTAGGTTAGGCGTCTGTCTTCAGCTCAGGTCATGATCCCAGGGTCCTGGGATTGAGCCCCACGTCCAGCTCCCTGCTCAGCAGGATTGTGCTCCCTCTGCCCCTCCCCACTGCTTGTGCTCTCTCTCAAATAAATAAATAAAATCTTTTAAAAATTAAAAAAAAATAATTCAATTTATAATAGCATCCAAAAACATGAAGTTCTTAGGAAGATAAATTTAGCAAAAGATATTCATACCCTGTACCCTAAAAAGTACAAGCCATTGCTAAGAAAAATTAAGAATACTCAAACAGAGATATATCATGTTCATGGATTGCTAAAATGTCAATTCTCCCCAAATTAGGATGACCAACCATCCCAGTCTGCCTGGGACTGAAGTAGTTAATTTCTAAAGATTCAAGACTATCATTTCTAAAGCCAAAGCAGTCTTGGGTAAATCAGGATGAATTGCTCATCTAACTTCAAACTGATCTATTGTTTCAACGTAATAGATTTTTTTAAAGAAATTGACAAACTGATTCTAAAATTTATGTGGAAAAACAAAGAATCTACAGTAGCCAAAACAATTCTGAGGAAGAACCAAGTTGGAGGATCACAATATCTAATTTCAAGTCTTAAGATAAAGTACAATAAGACAGTATGTTTTGTTGTTGTTGTTTTTGTTTTTAAGATTTTATTTATTCATTTGAGACACAGAGATACAGAGAGAGAGAGAGCATGAGCAGGGGGAGAGGCAGAGGGAGAGGAGAAGCAGGCTCCCCACCGAGCAGGGAGCCCGATGTGGGGCTTGATCCCAGGACCCTGGGATCATGACCTGAGCGGAAGGCAGACGCTTAACGACTGAGCCACCCAGGCGCCCCAAGGTAGGGCTTTAGAAACAAGGCAGGATGGGAGCTGGACCACTTCCTCTCCTCACCGTCTCTACACACTCCCCCCCCAAGGCATTCCCTAAATCACAGTTTAAGTCAAAACAAAATTTCAGATATTCGTCCAAATCCTGCACCATCAGGCACCTGGTACCCTTTAGCATTCCTCCTCTCTCAAACCAGATCCCACAATAGATTCTGAAATCAGTCATTTACGCCTAGCATAAATTAGTGACTGGCCTCTACTCTTCTGGGACCCTTTCAATTTTGCCTCGATATGTTTCTGTGCTCAGAGATATTTCAGGGAGCAGGAAGCAGGGACACGTAGAGAGGTGGGAAGATCCTTCTCACCTCCCCTTCACCAGCCTAACCTGCCTGATCTTCAGTACCCCCCAAAACACACACCAGGGAACTCTCACCCCCCAAAATCATAGGCAGAACCTGCACTGCCCACACATGTCACAGTGGGATGGAGAAGCCTCTGCGTGAACCAGACAGCTTCTAGAACATAGCCTCCCACTCAGCTATCCCCCAATGAACTGAATATGGAGGACACAGGCTAACTCTATTATATAATATTCTCCTTGAATTCAAGCAGCTCTGAATGAAATACGCATTAAAACACAGACACACCTAGAACAGTACCTGACACATGCATGAATTAATGAGGCAAATATTTAGAAAGAGCCACAGGAATTTTTATTCAATGATAATAGATGGAAGGCCATCCTAGGGGTGAAAGAGCAGGGACAACTCGGCTATAAATTTCAGGAGAAAGGAGCAAACTGTTTGGCCAAGTGGCCTTCCCTCCCTAACCCCAGGGAAGCCATCATTAACCTTTCACCTCCCCAGGAGGTGTGGTCTCAGAGTAACAACTGATTCAACCAAACAAATACAGGTGTCCCCCACCCCTAACCACCTGCAGTGGCTCAGCTTGCTGAGCAGATATTTCCCTCCGGCTTCCAGAGTCACCCCTTTCATTTGTTAATGTCACTTACTTATTAAAAAGAAAAAAGACATGAGTACTCTAGCACAAAAGAAGACTTAGTCATCATGCTAAAGATCCTATGTCCTTCTTTTTAGGGAAATGCTCTCAGCCTGGGAACTATTTTTCTCACCAGAGGAAAGTTGAGGTGGAGATTAAAGAGGGAAAGAAAAAGGCACAAAATGTGGAGAAAAACTCCTGCAGGCCTCGGGGCGCCTGGGTGGCTCAGTCGTTAAGCATCTGCCTTTGGCTCAGGTCATGGTCCCAGGATCCTGGGATCGAGCCCCGCATCGGGCTCCCTGCTTGGCGGGAGGCCTGCTTTTCCCTCTCCCACTCCCCCTGCTTGTGTTCCCTCTCTCGCTGTGTCTCTCTCTGTCAAATAAATAAATAAAATCTTAAAAAAACAAAAACAAAAACTCCTGCAGGCCTTAAATTCAGGTGTGCACTGGAAACTCGGGCCACTCTTATCTGCTCAGCCTCCTCATATCTTATGAGGCCCCAGGAGTTCCAGGTCCAGAATCTCAGAAGAAGAACCCATGGGAGCACCATGGGTTTATAATGCTGGTGGCCACCCCCCTTCCCACCCACGGTGCATTTTGTCTGAGCTGGCCAGCAGCATTCCCTATGTCCAAATGCTTTTATATGGGAGTAAATGAGCCTTAAAAAATCTACAGCAAAGGGACTAAATTGATCTGACCAAATTGATCCTTTGTGTCTTTTGCTTTTTGCATTTTGTGCATTTGCTCTTTGCCACAAAGTAACAGTACCTGCAAGAGCGCACTGTTGCTCTTCCCTTGCCTTTCTGGAAGCCCATTTTAGCTTCTGAAAGTCAAAACTGCCAGATTCAGGAAAGCAAGTGAGCTGAAACTTCCAGTTTCTTTAGGGGAAGGCAGCTCCCCCCTGCCCTTACCACATTCTGGGACTCTGAGATGGCCCAAGAGCTGCCTTGATGCCTCCTCTCCTTTGATCTGACTTAAGGACCCCAGGTTAGACTAGTAATTATCAATTCTACTCGAAATAAACTCCCTGGGGCACCTGGGTGGCTCAGTTGTTAAGCGGCTGCCTTCGGCTCAGCTCATGATCCCAGGGTCCCCACATAAGGCTCCCTGCTCGGCGGGAGGCCTGCTTCTCCCTCTCCCACTCCCCCTGCTTGTGTTCCCTCTCTCACTGTGTCTCTCTCTGTCAAATAAATAAATAAAATCTTAAAAAAAAAAAAAAAGAAAGAAAGAAAGAACTCCCTGTCCATATGCTTCCACTGACCTGCATCAAATAAGATCTTTCTCCATTTTGCTCTTCAAATTGTCCCATTAGGTGGTTTTGTACAAATTCCAGAAACATCTAAATTCTTATCAGGACTCTGTTAAAAACTTCAAAATCATTCCTTCTAAGAGACCCAGGTCAGGGGTGATGCCCTAGCATAAAGACCACTGTTATTACAGCACACTCCATAGAATACAGTGTCCATATTATCCCGAGTTGTGCAGTGAGGCAAAATTATCTAGTGGGTGGAGGACTGGAGCACCTGGTGACGTTTTCTTTGTCCCCTACACTGTTCAGAGGGCAGCAAACAGGGCCAACCCAGGAGCCACCATTCACCACTGCTCGCTGGGACCCAGGTGGTGGCATCGTGGCTGCCTCTGACTTAGTACAGGTCTGTCACCCTCAGGTCCAGACCCCCAACTCCATCTTCCCTCTCTGCAATACTCTATGCTCACCCTTTGAGAGGGGGTGGGGGAACCAGAGAATGCAACCACTAATTCAAACCAGAAAAACAGAGGGCACAGAACTGAAAAGAGTTTTTCATACAGCCTGTCTGAAAGATCCCCTTCGCTGTGAGAATTTTGGCTTGGCTCCTTGGTTCTCTGCTTTCAGAGTCAGAAACCTATTTCTTCAGTAACTCCTGCAAGTAAAAGGAGATGAAATGTATGTATGTGGCTTTGCCAATGAGCTCTCCTTTTGCTTTTAACATTAGAAAAAGTGGGGCAGGGGTACCAGACAGGACAGGAATGCATGGAGATGAAAAGCCAACGGTTAGCCCCCCTGGCCCGGGATATTGAGACATCATCTCTAAGCAGATGATGCGCAACAACATCAAGTGTCTCTTGCTACTCTTCCCCCACCCCACCCCCACTTCCCTTCTCCCTGGGGACTAAAACTAATGTGTTTTATTTGCTCCACCTGAGGAGGAGGAAGATTTATGGACGGGGGGGGGGGGGTCCTCGGTAGGAGTCAAAATTCAGGCTGGAACAACTGGTAACTTGTCAGCAGCACACCATCAAATGGTCGCCACAACCCCACAGAAATGCAAACAAACCAGACTGGTACAGGGAGCTGCCGTGCCCTCCTCCGTTTAGCGGTGGGTGTCAAAGACCACGTAATGCTGCAGTGGCTTCCAACGAAGCTATTTTACACAAGCCAAAAGTTGCTGTCTTCTAACAAACGGGCTCTCTGAAAAGACTGAAAAGGAGGAATCTTCTCTATTTAGCTGATGGGATGTGTTCAGAGCACCATTTGTCATTTCTTTTTCCCAAGCTGTTAATGACCCCAAACGTTCCACTAGGCCCTGAGCCGAGACCACCACACCACCCAGTACAGAGGGGCACGGAAACCACGGACTGTCGTCGGCTCCAAGGCTGGAACTTAAAAAAAAAAAAGAGCAACCAGTTCAGCAGTCCCCTTCCTAAGAGCCCCCGTGGTGCGGGGACAGAGGCCCTGTCTCCTGACCCCAGTCCCGGTGCCTCGGGATGCCCAGAGCATCACTTTTCTAAGTAGAAAGTTCCTTCGGCCAGGAACCTGTTGGCTGCACTGGCTGAAAAGAGTTGAGAAGTGGAGGCATCCTGGAGGTGGCCCCAGGCAGCGGCCACGCCTATCTCGGGGGCCTGAGCTTCAGTGTCCCGGCAGGAGACAAAGTCCTGGGAGGACAGCCCTCCTCCAGCAGCCAGGTGGCCGCCCATCCCCTCTCACCCCCGGCTCCCGCGGCCTCAGAGCCGAGCGTGCGCCGCACGCGCCCCAGCGGCCGGGGCTCGGTCCCCGCGGCTGGCGCGGGGCGCCCCTCCCGTCCGGGCCCCGCACTCACCCACCGCCCGGATGCGGAAGCCGCGCGGGGGGCGCAGCGCGCGGCGGCACCAGGCGTCGCGCAGCACCTGCAGGCTGGCGGGAGGCGCGTGCACCAGCAGCACCCCGCGCCGCAGCCAGCCCTGGAAAGCCAGCCGCGAGGCGGCGCGCGCCAGGCGCGAGTTCCAGAAGCAGCGCGCGTTGGCGCGGCGGAAGGCGCGGAAGACCGCGCGCCCGCCAGGCTCCTCCGCGCCCGCCGCCGCCTCCTGCGCCTCCAGCCTGCACAGCACCAGCGCCAGCGAGCCCGGCGCCAGCTGCACCGGCCGGGCCATGCCGCCGCGGGAGGCCGGGGCCCCAGCCTAGCGCATGTTCGGGCGCGGCCGGGGCGCCACACGCTCGGCGGGAAGGAGCAGCCGACTGCGCGCGGCGCCGGCTGCCGGGGGAACGGGCGCCGGGGGGCGGGGCCGGCGGCGCTCGGCGGCTCGGGGGTGGGGCGGGACGCGCGGGCTGAGGGTGGCCGCGGCCGTCGGCAGCCCGGCGCCCAATGGGGCTTCCCGAGGACTGAGTGGTTCTCCTCCCCAGCCGGGACTCTGCCGCCCCGCCCGCGGCCTCCCCGCGACTCCCTTCACCTCCCGGCTCCGGGGCGGCCCTGAACCCCCCTACCCCGAGGAGGACGCTCTGGAGCCTTTCCAGGTCCTCGGGGAGCCCCGCAGCTCCCGGGAGCCTCTCTGAACCGCGGCGCCAGCGGCACGGCCGGCAGTCCCCAGAACTGAGAGGACCAGGGGGGCCGCCATGGTCCTGGCTTTAGGGTCGCTCCTAAGTGAGAGAGGCCACGAGGGACAGCCTGCGGGTGTCAGGGACCTCGCTGGGGCCGGGAGTCAGTCCGCCGACCCAGGTTTGGGGCTCGGTCTGCTCCTAACTCGTTTTGCTCGTTACTTCCCCTCTCTCTGAGCCTCAGTCTACCGTCATGTAAAATGAGGAGTTGGAACTGCATTCTTCTTTTCTTTTTTTAAGATTTTATTTGACAGAGAGAGAGAGACAGCGAGAGAGGGAACACAAGCAGGGGGAGTGGGAGAGAGAGAAGCAGGCTTCCCGTGGAGCAGGGAGCCTGATGCGGGGCTCGATCCCAGGACCCTGGGATCATGACCTGAGCTGAAGGCAGACGCTCAACGACTGAGCCACCCAGGTGCCCCGGAACTGCATTCTAAGCCCCTTTCCATCCACGACTCTGAGGTTCTAGGCTCTGGGCCCGCCCCTGCGCCATCCTACACCCTTCAGTGGGAAGGGACGGGAAGTGTTCCAGGATAGCCGCCGCGATTGGCGAGGCGCAGTGAAGTCCGTGGGATTCAGCCCTGGGCTGGAGCTGGGCATCCCGCAAAGACTGAGAAACCGTCTTGCCCGGGAGCTCCCCGGACTGAAGGGAGAGGGGCTTGTGATCTGTCGGGCCGACTGTAGCGAGGGCCTTGAGCAACGAGGTGCCGTTCATATTCTGAGGGACAGAGGCTGGAGCCCTGACCGGAGCAATGGAAGAGGGCTCCTGGAGGAAAGAACAGGGGACATGAGAGGTAGGGCGTTCGTTATTACTACTAGAAGCTGGCTCTAGAAGAAGGAGCAGAGGTGTTTGGCAAGACCTGGGGGTCATCCCAGACTTCCCGCTCCCTCAGCTCATCAGCCAACAGCCATAATGATTGGAGATAATCTATACCCTACCTCCTTGTAAATCATCCTCACAATAAATGATAGATGACTCTATTAAATAATGATAGCTAACATTTACTGAACACTATATGGCTGGGGGCGTTAATTGCGCAACTAGGTGTTTAACTCCTGTTAGTATTTCTATATTTTTTAGAGATGAGGAAACTGCAGGCTGTGTTAGATTAAGAAGTGCGTCCTGGGGCGCCTGGGTAGCTCAATCGGTTAAGCCTCTGCCTTCAGCTCAGGTCATGATCCCAGGGTCCTGGGATCGAGTGGGCATTGGGCTCCTTCCTGAGTGGGGAGCCTGCTTCTCTCTCTCCTCCCAGCTCGCTATCTCTGTCTCTCTCTCAAATAAATAACATCCTTAAGAAAAATAAATACGTACTGATCACACAGAGAGTAAGAGATAGAGTTAGACAACTACCAATCAGGGTTCCCTATGACAAATAAGTCTGACACAATTTTCAATTCAAATAAGTATGAGAACCTGAGATAACCATCTCAGGTCTGAATTTGGACACTGATGGAGATGGATGGATGGATGGATAAATACAGCAGAGAGCCTAAATGAACTAAACTCTCTGTTTGTAGAAGCTCCACAGGGAGGGCAGAGTTTCCTCCACTGAGTTCTCTCTATCGTATCCCTAACCTTGTGGGATCAAGGATACCTTTGCTGTCTTTCCCACCTTAAAGAACTATGACATCTCTATCTAGCATCTACAACAGTGTCTTTTCCATTATAATAAGGATTATGATAATTCTCATTTACTCTCAGCTCACTCTATGCCTAGATCTGTACTAAGGGTTTTACATGTGTGATATAATTTTATCCTCAAAATTAACCCTCTGAAAGGGGTAATATTAGTAAGCCCCATCTTCCATAAGAAAAACAAAAGCTTAAAAGGGGAGGGAGCGCCTGGGTGGCTAAGTCAATTAAGCATCCAACTCTTGATCTTAGTTCAGGTCTTGATCTCAGGGTCATAAATTCAAGACCCGTGTTGGGCTCCATGCTTTGTGTAGAGCCTACTTGAAACAAAAAGGAAAAGAAAAGCAAAAGCTTAGAGAGCTTAGGCCACATGCCTATGAGGACAAAGCTAAGGGACAGTCAAATAGAGACCCCAACATTGTCCACACACCTGGCTAGACGGGGAAGCCAGAAGACCCACACCCTGACTCACGGGACCTGTTGCCTGGTCTGAAAAATTGTCCTGAGCTTGATTCTCTCTCCCGAGTCTTTGAACTGGAAATACACAATAAGGCCCTTATTAGCAGAGCCTGTAGCCGCTGGGATGCTCTCAGGTAGACCACACTATGAGATTTCATGGCCTGAACTTATAAGGTAGAACTGTCTTAAATTGTGGAAACTTTCATTCAGATGTGTGACATTTCCATTATCATTTTACTTCAGCTGGTCCAATTAACAAAAGAAGAGGGAAAACTGTAAAGAGAAAAATTTTAAACTACAGCCAAATATGTATCCACTTGTTTTCCCAAAGGATCAGCTACCTCACAAATATCCCTAAACTACCAAATGGAATATGCCTTAAGAGTTAGTGGAGGGGCACCTGGGTGGTTCAGGTGGCTAAGCATCTGCCTTGGGCTCGGGTCTTGATGTTGGCATCCTGGGAGCAAGCCCAGCGTCAGGCTCTCAGCTCAGTGGAGTCTGCTTCTCCTTCTCCCTCTGCCTCTCTCCCTGCTTGTGTGCGCACAAAGTGTTCATGGAAAACTGAAGACCTCCAGCCTGAAGGGCCAGTATTACGTGTCAAAACTAGAGAAACAGAAACAGAAACTTCTCAAGGGCCTTCCATCTTTGTGATCTCTGGAGACCAGACACAAACATTTTTTAAAAAATATTTTACTTATATATTTGACAGAGAGAGATATAGTAAGAGAGGGAACATAAGCAGGGGGAGTGGGAGAGGGAGAAGCAGGCTCCCCGCTGAGCAGGGAGCCCGATGTGGGGCTCGATCCCAGGACCCCGGGATCACGACTGAGCCAAAGGCAGATGCTTAACAACTGAGCCACCCAAGGGCCCCGAAACATTTTTTAAAGATTGTATTTATTGGGGCACCTGGGGGGCTCAGTAAAACATAGCCAAGATTCAATATTTGGCCAACTCTGGCAAATGAAGCTTGGAGTTAGATTTTATTTGGGTTAGAGAACTGAAGCTGCAGGGGGCACAAAGGCGTACCTGCTCCATTTGTAATTGCAGTACAAGATAAATTTGTTTTTTTTTTTAACATATAATGTATGATTTGTTTCAGAGGTACAGGTCTGTGATTCAACAGTCTTGCACAATTCACAGCGCTCACCAGAGCACATACCCTCACCGATGTCCATCACCCAGCCACCCGATCCCTCCCACCCCCCACCACTCCAGCAACCCTCAGTTTGTTTCCTGAGATTAAGAATTCCTCATATCAGTGGGCGCCTGGGTGGCTCAGTTGGTTGGGCGACTGCCTTCGGCTCAGGTCATGATCCTGGAGTCCCGGGATCGAGTCCCGCATCGGGCTCCCTGCTCAGCAGGGAGTCTGCATCTCCCTCTCCCGCTCCCCCCTCTTGTGCTCTTTCTCTCTCTCACTCTCTCTCAAATAAATAAATAAAATCTTAAAAAAAAAAAAGAACTAAAAAGTTAAAAAAAAAAAAAAAGAATTCCTCATATCAGTGACTAGGGTGGGGCAGTTGAGTCTTTTTATTTAACTATGCTCAAAATCCCAATACATTCATAAAGGAGGGGAAGTAAAAGCACATAGTAGGAGCTGCCAGATCCTAGGCGCTCAATGAATGTTGGTTAAGGTACCAAGATGCACTGGACTCCTGGTTAGGGTTGGAGACTAACAAGGTTTCAAGGAGGACAGTTCTGATTTTAGCCATTTTAGCTTGTTCTGAAGTTGTTTATTTAAATTCTTACCTCTGAATCTCCACATTTCTCATTTTCTTCATCCATAATATAAGAATCATCTCCTTCCTGATATGCCTTGCAAAGATTTTGTGATATCTAAATCATGTTAAAATAAACCAATCTAGGGCGCCTGGGTGGCTCAGATGGTTAAGCATCTGCCTTCGGCTCAGGTCATGATCCCAGAGTCCTGGGATCGAGTCCCGTGTCAGGCTCCCTGCTCAGCAGAGAGCCTGCTTCTCCCTCTCCCTCTGCTGCTCGCCCTGCTTGTGCTCTCTCACTCTCTCTGTCAAATAAGTAAATAAAATCTTAAAAAATAATAATAAAAAAATAAACCAATCTATGCCTAAAAATTTAAGAAGTGAATTATAAAAAAAAAAAAGATAAACTTGATCGTCTGATGCTCACATCTGTCTGGGGTCTATCCTAAGTAGAGCATTCAGTGCTCTTCACACTCTGACCCCAGCCCGGTCTTTCTAACATCATGGCCATTTCTATCCTTGCCCTCCTCCTGCAATCCACACCACAGACCTTGTGCTCCAACTACACAAAATTACACACCTTCCCCCGTCTTTGCTCACATTATTCCATCTGCCTAGAAGGCCTTCCCCCTTGACCAGCTGTTATCTTACAAAGCTCAGCCCATAAAACCTGTGACACATCCAGGGAGATATCATCTGTTCCTGGAGCACATTGTTAACCCTTTTATAACACTTGTGTGTTAAGGGCTGTAATAATTATCTGTCTCATCAGGCAACCTGGGGTTCCTTGAGGACTAGGCTCCTGACTGACTCGTCTCTGTGATCCAGCACATAGC